AATTGCAGAATGGAAGATAGTCAGATTAACAGTATTTTGTCTCTATCTTCAGGTTTTACACGCTTACATTAGGGGTGCAACGATACTCGTATCGATATTGAGCCGTTCGATACAGTGCTTTCGGTTCGGTACGCATATGTATCGAACAATACAACTTTTTTTATTTATTTTATCAACTTTTCTTCTGACGATGCTGTCTGTGTTGAGCGCTCAGTGGATCTGCGTTCAACTACTCCGCCTAGGCTGCACTGTCGAGTGCAGATCCACTGAGCGCAGCGCAAGCTAGCAAGACAGAAGCTAAGCTCGTTGCAACATGGCAACTGCCTCAACGCTACCCGAAACTGAACCTCTCCCACCCTCATTCAGATCTGGCGCTTGGAACTATCTTGGTTTTCATGTGAAGCATGACCCTGATGGTAAGCGCGTCATGGACAAAAGTAAAACAGTATGTCGGATGTGCCACCCAATGCTCAATTGGTGGGAACTAGTGCGTTAGCGCAGTTAGCTTGTTGACGTCGTCCAGCCCTAAGCACGGGAGGATCCACGGTAACTTGTTAACGGAGATTTGCTGTGTTATGGCGTTAAAGTCATTTTAACGAGATTAACGCTGACAGCACTAGTGGGAACACAACGAATATGACTGCACATTTACGCCGACAGCATCCTAGTGCAAAGGCAAGTGGAAGCAGACAAAAACAACAAGCACGCATGCTACAAACTTTACCCGAGTCATTTAGACAGCCGTTAGCACATGATTCTCCTTATGGGGACCTGATATGTTTAATATGCTGCTGAGAATATAGCCCAGAAGAAGCGTATAGTAGAGCTTTTATTTTGGAAAGAGCCATTTCTCTGTAATAAACTCTCTTTTCCAAAGATGAGGGATTTCTCGATCAGATAGATTTATTTTTTTTTATTATTTTGTTGTTTCAGCAACATTAAATTTAAAAACTGTACTTTTGAGCTAAAATATATATTTATAATTTTAATGAATGACAAATTAAAAAGGCATGAACATTTTTTTGTATCGAAAAAAAAATCTAACCGTGACACCAAAGTATCGAACCGAACCGTGAATTTTGTGTATGTTGCACCCCTAGCTTACATATACACACGCAGTTACTGTCCCTCCATTTAGAAAGGCAGAGGCCTAATTATTTTACGTGTAGTTGTTTTTTTCCTGTGTAATAACAAACAAATTTCCCACATGTGGGACTAATAAAGGTTATCTTATCTTATAATATTCAACATTGCTATCAATGCATTTTTCAAAAAAAAAAAAAAAATCCTCTCTTTGCAAAATGGGTTCAAAAACATAAACAACTGTGAGATACTGTTTGTCCGTGATTTGGAGAGCCCAGCGCGTGCTCACGACGAAGGGAAAAGCAATTCTGCAGGGGAGAAGTATTTGGGAAATACTTTTTTTAACTTTTGAAATGCTGCTGGCTTACCGACATGGAAAACTTAAAAAAAACAAAAAAACAAACAAACACACACTCACTATGAGAGAGGAATAAAATGTCTGATTTGATTAATGGCCCATCGTATCCCACCAGAGCTTTATGTCTCGCAACAGCCATGCTCTGTAACTAGGGTTGCCAACCGTCCCTTAAAAAACGGAATCGTCCCGTATTTCGAAACAAAAGTACACGTCCCGTATTGAGCTAATAAGGGACGCACTTTGTCCCGTAATACAGTGAGAATCAAAAGTAGTCTATAAATGTTAATGGAATTAACGCTTTGTTTGAAAACATAATTCCCAGCCCCTCTCCTGATTTGTGACCAATGAGCTGACAGCACACTTATGACAATTCGAGTATGACAATTCAGATTACCGCTCATCTCATTGGTCGAGGAAAGGTCGCTTACGGAGAAAATACCGGAAGACAACAGATGACCATAACAAGAAGCATGGCCAACAGGGAAACAAACGCCGACACTGCGGTGCAAGTCTCGGACGACAGTACACCTAAAGCTGGGCAGACACTGTGCGATTTTTTCAGTCGCGTTATTCAGCTCCTGCTCAAACTGCACGATTGACTCGCAGGGGTTAAAAGTTGGTAGGTCACGATGCAGGTCTCACACTATACGGCCCGATGCTCTGATGCGACCTGAGTACTCACACTGTGCCTCCATAAAATGAAGGTTATAACAGAAAATCTGTCGCGCTCTCCCTCTGTCTTTCACTCACACAGACACACACACCACCACCATCAACTTTGCTAAATTGCTAATGAAAAACATTGATCAGGCAGCTGTGATTGAGCAGCAATGTAAATCCAACTATTTTCATGGTTGTTGTGGTCGTGATAATTTTGTGAGGCCACATCGAAAAGGCTCGGATGAGCTTTCCAAAGTTCTACAAGTTGTGCCTCCATCGCTTGTGTCCAGATCACACGCTGCACAGCCGTGCTGCGCCGTCTTTTTCGCTGACATTTGTGTTTGCGCGTGCGCAGTGTGACAAACTGCGGTGACACCCTCACGACCAAGCGATTGATGATCGGGAGCTGCTCGTGAGGTGTTAATCGCGTCTCGTTACCCCACGTATACTACACGACGCACGATGAAGGCCAAAATCGGGCCGATCGCCAAATCGGTTGCACGACTCAAAAATCTGTTCAAAATGGGCCAAAAATCGCACAGTGTAAGCCCAGCATTACACTCACACAGACACACACACCACCACCATCAACTTTGCTAAATTGCTAATGAAAAACATTGATCAGGCAGCTGTGATTGAGCAGCATGTAAATCCCACTATTTTCACGGTTGTTGTGGTCGTGATAATTTTGTGATGCCACATCGAAAAGGCTCTGATGAGCTTTCCAAAGTTCTACAAGTTGTGCCTCCATCGCTTGTGTCCAGATCACACGCTGCACAGCCGTGCTGCTCCATCTTTTACACCAACGTTTACGTGTTTGCGCGCGAGCAGTGTGAGCGGCTGTGATGAGACCCTCACGAGTGATTGATGATCGGGAGCTGGTCGTGAGGTGTTAATCGCTTCTCGTTACCCCACGTATACTACACGATGCACGATGAAGATCACTCAAAAATCGGCTCAAAATGGGCCTAAAACCGCACAGTGTAAGCCCAGCATTATAGCAGCAATGTTTGTTCCCCTCAGAGAAAGGGAAGAATGGGAAAAGGAAAACACCTGGCTGGAAAAAGTTAATATGGGCATGTGCAGTGAATATCAGCGCTATGTGGCCAGAAGTGTGATAATATAATTTATTTTGTGTAATAAACAACTGCAAGGATAGATGATTACAAATTAATGACTAATACATAAAAGTAATACATAGATGAATAATGATGATGAGTTAAGATGCGTAATCATGGGAACAAGCGGGTTTACAAACAGGAGCAGCTGATTAGCATTAGAAAAGCTGAAATAATACCTCAACTGAAGCCAATTGTACTAAATGCACTAAATGTGCACTGTTACAAGAATGTTTTTCTTTCTATTGTTTTCTATTATTTTAAGTTAAGCAGGACAGAGTTCTTTTAAAGAAAGATTTACTTATATTCTCAAAAGTTAAGCATGACAGGCTTCTGTTTAAGAAGGAGACCTGTTTTACTGTGTTAATGTTGTCATTTTGAGCTAAAAATAAATGGCTAAATGATCATTTGTTTCACATGTGTTCATATCACAAAGAATAAACATTTACTTAAATCAAATTCAAGTCAAATGGTTAAAAAAATAATTTCACACACAAAAAAAGAGCTAGAAAATTCACCACACTGGGAAGGGTGAAGACAACTGGGTCGCCCGGCCCTGGCCACGAGGTGTCCCTTATTTATTTTTCAGGGAGTTGGCAACCCTATCTGTAACCGGTCCCGTACCAGCAGACTGAGAGACAGCTTTTTCCATCAGGCCATCAGACTGCTGAACACGTCATAGACACCTCAGCTTCACTACTGGAACTTCAACATTATGCACTCCACACTGTATATAAATGCCACTTGTTTTGCACATATTCAACTCTGTATATTTTATATATTTTATTATTATTATTATTATTTTATTTTATTTTTTTACTATTTAATTTGTAAAAATGTGTATACACACACACACACACACACACACACACGTAGGAAAATATTTAGTATACACATCCAGAAATGCATACACTATTATATATTGTACATATATTTATTAGTTTCAGGTTGGCCATTCTTGTATTTTGCTCGTTTGTGTTGTTGTGTTTGCACATCTCTGTTGCTTGTGGGGCTCGCACACAAGAATTTCACTCGCATGTGCTGTGCCAGTGTGCCTGCACATGTGATGTGACAATAAAAAGTGATTTGATTTGATTTGATTTGAACTAACAAACTGCCTAATGAGGAGGAAACGTGGGGAATGATGGAAACATAGGTGAGCATTTATCTGGAGGCCATTGTGCGGACTGTTTACTCATTATGCTCTTCCTTATCAGACATTCCCACCCTGTTAAGGAAGCCCGACTGGGTACTCCCCACCCTCGCTATTTCCATCCATCGACGACCCGAGCACAACAGACCAGCCCACTCCAAAACCGCTCCAACCACTACTACATCTCCACCCATACAGTACACCTCCAACTACACCACCAGACTTCAAGCACCTAAAAACCTGCGCAACAGGTTCCACAGATGTCTGTGCGATACGTGAAACTTGAATCAAAGTAGTAACGTGGGCTGGACGGCTGGATGTGCTGAGACAAGCTGCTCTGCACGCTCCAACTCTGCATAGAAAGAACTGGAAGCGAGACTCTCGCTGTAACATTCCTCCCGAGAAGACCCTGCCTGGTATCGGCACATAGCCGGGGTTAGCAGCGTTCGGCTATTGCAAAGTTCAGCATTTCGCTACAGCAGCCCGTCCCTACGAGGGACAGCTGGATGACGTCAGCCCGAAACACGCGTTTACATCGCGGAGCTGTCGATCCAGCAGAACGACTAGCACTAAGTGTTGCTGTTCAGAGCTCCAGGTAAGGCGGGAAGGCTGAGTTCCGAGAACTTACTTGAAGGTGAGGATGCACAGCGGTCTGTAAGACTTGTGGCTCGTGTTGTCCGCCATCCTCTTGCCCCAAAAGTCGTCGCTGAAGATGTTTCTGAGGCTGGAGCCAGGTCGGACGTCCGGATTGTTGACGATAGCCCACACATCGTCGTGCACCAACTCCCCGTGGAGAGAGTTGCTATAGCACAGGATACACAGGGCGGCCAGCGCGATGTAGCGACCCGCAATCCACACCGTCTCCGGACGGACCGTTACCCGCGACTGCTGGCAGAATTTCTTGTCCCGTGCAGACGCTGTCATGTCGGGCCTGGCTTTCCCCGCGGCTCTGGCGGACTGAGAACGGGAGTAGCAGAGAATACGTCCATTCCACCTGGAGTGTAGCGGCTCTGTGTTCTGGGGACAGCAGGGATGGTGGAGATGTACTTTGTTGCCTTTAGGTTCTGTGGGAGAATGTCCTACTAGTAGGCCATTCCTAGTATTAGAAAATGTGAAATCGTCTTTATTGTTTTTATTTCTGTTATATTTACATTACTCTTTTCATAAATAGTTGTTTCATATTTACTATTAACAAACCAAAGAGTAATCTGTTTTGTTTACATACAAAGGTATGCACTTGATTGGTCGTTCTTGACCTTGACAACATCAAAGACAAGTACATCAGTTGCCCCCTTAGAGTCTAGTCTTTTTTGGAGGGGGAGGGGCAAAATCGCTGGAAATATCGTTATTATGTTGTTTGGTTTGTTGTACACCTAGTGTGACTTATATTTTTGAAAACAGAACGTATGACATTGCTGCTAACAAATAAACAGACACGACAAAAGACTGAAATAAGAGGAAGAAAGGGCAATTTTTTTCCATTTACTATGTAAGAGTCTATTAATAGATGTTATTGGTGGACCAAAGGCAAGACGAAGCCTCCGTGTACGAGCTTATGTGAAGAACCTGAATGCGACATCAGCACAGCTCGCGCCTGCAGACGCATGCGCAGGAGACGATACCTCTCTCGCCTTTTAAAATATCAGCCGCAGATAATTAATGCAGGCGGGGCCAAAACTGCACGAGCCCATCATTGTGAACGCGCTCACGTGAGCTGTCCTCTTGCTCCGTGCCAGCCGGACCCCAAACAGCAGAAGCGGCAGAGTCCTTCTGTACACCTTGCTGCCTCGTCACATCTGAGAAATTATTATTATTGTTAAGGGAGCATATTTTCTGATACACAGACTTTAGTTTCTAACATCTCCTGTTCAATTCTGTGCAGTATTTCTGGGTTGTTGTATTTTTGGAGGGTTGTTATGGAAGCAGACCTTTTTGGTTAATGCTAGCAGAGCTCTCACTAGCTTCAATCATCTGTAAGACATACTGCATTGTTTAATACCGCGGTCAAGTGAGACCTCACTTACGAAGACACAGTCAAGCTAGCCGCACCGCCAGCCGCACCTAAAATGTTGTTGCACTATTCTTATGCATATTACGGTACGGGTCTTTTGTGTCCTGACACTATTGTACTTCACAATCCACTCCCCCATACGGTAAAAAAATAAATTTTTCCTGGCCAAAATATATTTCAAATATATGGTAAATATATTTTGTATTTGTGATGCTCCAAAAAAAGATATTTTTGAAATTTAAAATATATTTCTTTCAAACCAAAATACATTTCAAAAGATATTTGCGTTCAAGAAAATACATTTCCAACCTTTCAGTAGAATATATTTCAAAGTATCCCTTATCTAACCTCTTTGGACCTGGCGTCCACATATGTGGACGTCACATTTTGGGTTATTTAGACCAAAATACTCAATTTTGCTCTACAAGGGCCTGATATCCACTTCCGACAGGGCCGTTGCTAGCCATTTGGGTGCCCTAAGCACAAATGCTTTATGGTGCCCCCCCCCCCGCCACTGAAAAAAAAAAAAAAAAACATTAATACTTTTGAATTTCTCAGTGGAATTTGTTTAATTAAATAACAACAAACATGACAGTTAAATAAATAAGGTTAAAGGAGGTTAAAAATACTGTTACAAATAAATACTGAAACAAAAATTGAACATTGGAACAAGAACAAAGAGCCTGGCAATAATGTGTAATTTTTTTATAAAAAATAATATATATAATATAATAGTATTATTATTAATATATTTACAAATAGTTTCACAATAGAATTTAAATAAGAAACTTAAATAAGAAAAATAAGAATTTGAACACAAAAGCCACATTCCTTAAGTAACTATGTTAAACATTTTTACAATTCGTTGTCAGAGTATGCCCTAGACTCTAGGGCATACTCTGACAACCAGAAAATGCAGGCGTGGTGTGCCTCTCTAGGGCCTAGAGAGGCACACGCCTGCATTTTCTGGTTGCAAAATCAGCTATAAGGTCATCATATGATAGCTTCTGAGCCACGTCACCATTGATGCTGATAACAGCCAGACCACTTAAACGTTCCTGCCCCATTGATGAACGCAGGTACGTTTTAATGAGTTTGAGCTTTGAAAAGCTTCGCTCAGCAGAGGCAACTGTGACAGGCAGGGTCAGTGCAATACGCAGAGCAATCCACAGATTGGGATATACCTCTTGAAGCTGATTGTCATGTAAAAATGACAGCATTTCCAAAGCAGACGTCTGTGGTGGCAGCTGAGGAAGGTTGATGATTTCCTGCATCATCTCAGGTCCATCAATGTCAGCTACTCCCTTATCTGTCAGTGTCTTCTGTACTTCAGTGCAGTGTTTTTTTAAATCCTCCTTGGACATCCCATTCACTTTGCTGAAATCAAGCAGCACTCCATATTTCTCCTTCACTTGATTCATGGTCTCAAACCTCTCCTGTAGGGAGATTAAAGCAGAGTCCACAACACAATTGAAAAATGTGACCTCAAGCTTTCTCTGCATACAAGAGAAAATATTCAGGGATTTTACAGAAATACAATTTTGAATCTACAGTAGGCCTACGAAAGATTGCATTATAAGACTAATAAATTAAGTAAGTCACTGGTACATTTAAAAATTACTAACTATATTTTACATGTATAGATTTTCATAATGGCAAATGGCAATATAAACATGCTGTACATAATTTGATATAAATGCGCAAGTAGGAAATCTATATTACTGGAAGATATAGGTTTCATATTACAGTTTCACCAACAGATGTCGCCCTTGATCTATGAACCTAAAGAAAGACGAGAACTATTTATGTGTTCAGACGTCAATGGCATAAATAAGATATGCGTCTTTATAGGTATCCTGAAATGCAGCAACATACAAAGTAATCTTGTCTAATCTGATAATAATACTTGACTGCATCACTGACCTATCCCAAAGTTAAGGTTAATCAGTAGCATGCATGACGTTAGCCAGCTAGCAACCTGAGGAGGGAAATGCTAGTCTCACGAATCACGATAACGTTAGCAATCGTGACTCACGATTGCTAACGTTATCTGAAAACCGTCAATTGAGTGACCATGATGAGTTGCTTTTAGTAGTCCATTCTATATTCATATCCACAACGTAAACAAACTACCCAACATCAATCATTTGCAACATTTGTTAACACAGTATGAACACTGCTAACAGGAGCTATCACAGAGTTGACGGACATGAGCGTGCAAGCAAGGGCTACAATAATGAACTTTTTTTATTATTATTATTTAAACATTGCCTTACCGGCAAGCGACGCCTGAGTTTCATCACGCTTCCTCTTCTTCTTTCTTTTCTCCGCTCCCGACTCCTGTTGCCGTTTCGAGGCCATGTTCAAACAGGTGTTTACCAATTATAGAACAGACCACTGGGAGTGGGGGGCACCAGGAGGAGACTGGAGACAGGGCACAAAGCAGATTCACCCCTTTTCTCGGGAAAATTGTTTTATGTTGCTTTTGTATTGTTTAACCATATTAATGCATATGATATTTATAGTATTAATATGGTTTACTTTTTTTTTTTACGACCCTGATTTTTTTGGTGCCCTACCGGCCATTTGGTGCCCTACGCAGTGTGCGTTATGTGCGTTTGCGGAGCTACGGCACTGACTTCCGAGGACATTATACTGCTACTGTTCTATCAAAATTTTAAACAAATATCCTCATTTGTGGCTCTTATTTTTCTTAAAAACAAAAATAAGTTAAAAGAAAATCTGGTAATTCTTTTTTTTTTTACATTCATCGGGCCCCAATATGCCCAAATATCAAAGAGAAATTAAAAATGCATGTCGTGGAAGAGTTCGGGTCTTAGGAGGTTAAAATGTATTTAGTGCCATAATAATAATAAAAGTAACAACATCTGCATCTAATCACATCTGCAAACACAGTTGGATTCAAACAAAACACAGTCAAAGGTCTAGCAAGAATTAGGTTATTTATTCATTTGCTTACAGTATTTCACATTAGACAATATTAGCATTCACTTGACTTTGAAATTAATGGTCATTGATACAGTACACAAAATACAACTGCTATGTACACTTTAGCTTTTGACAATATATACAATATACTACTTAAAGAAACAGTCCACTTTTTTTGAAAATAGGCTCATTCTCCATCTCCCTCAGAGTTAAAAAGTTGAGTTTGACCATTAAGTCTTTGGTCATTTTTCTTTTTTACAGATTATACAAAAATCATAAGCACAATGTTCATTTTGTTGAGCAAAATTAAACAGCACTTCAAATTAAGCGAACAATCACTGTTACAACAGTTATTATGCTCATGATTGGCTGTGTGCCACTGATGGCAGGGTTGTTGGGTGTGTAATCAGGCAGCGGAGGCGGCGTCTGGGTTCAACATTTTATTTTAGGCTTTACAGCGGAGCTCCATCTTGTTCTCGCTCTCTACTTTCTTCTTCTCCTCTTTCTCTTACCCAGCCTCATTAGCGACACCCCTGGTCTGACAGGGTAACAGCATGTACTAATTTTCTTCCCTTATTATAGAACCTTGTAAACACAACATCTCCCCCTTTTCTCAAATAATACTCTTTCCCTTGTAGCACAACCTGAAACATTCGACAGCCTTTTACTTTTGAGGGAATTAGTAACTTCAGAATAGTATTATATATATATCCTGATAAAAGAACTGTAATGGCAAAGTAAACGTGCCCCGGATCAACCCTGAATCAAAAGGAACAACCATGTGCCCTCTTCTCAGCTTATCAGAAGTCACAGCTGGAATTAAAGATAACTAATGAAACTCAAATGCACTTTCCCTTCACAGTCATTTCTCACATCTGCATATTTCTCCTTTCTTTTTACCTCTGAACTATTTCATAACAAAGTCTTTTGTCCATCTTGGTGGTTGTCTGTCCCTCTGCAGTGTGGGACGTGTAGCAGTCTGTGCGGAGCTGATGTTTTCTGTCTCTGTATCAGCTCTTTGTGTGTGTTTTGAGTTCTCTGGGACAAGTGAGAGACGTGCTGCATTCCATCTTCTCCCATCGCTGAGGATGAAAGAACTCTCACCCGTCTGCTGCTGTACCTCCAGCGGCTTGGTGTATTGTGGCTCTCCTTTTCCCACATGGAATGGCTTTCGTACTCTCACTGACGCACCCACAGTCACTTTAGTAGGTTTAGCACCTCTCTTTCTGTCTGTATAAAGTGCACTTCTTTTCTGTGTCAATGTCACTTTGGATCTGATGTGGTCATATTGTCCAGCATCCTTTGGTGGTGGCAGAATGTTGAGTTTAGTCCGCATGGCTCTTCCTCTGAGGAGCTGGAAAGGGGACTCACCGGTTGTCGCGTGGGGAGTCGCTCGATAACTTTGAAGCAGTTCTGTAACCACAGTTTTCCATGGTCGCTGAGTAGCTTGTGCTGTCTGTATGGAGTCCTTCAGTACTCTATTA